ACCCATCTGTCAGTGCGTTGCTATGATGCTGAACAAAATGCAGTGAAGCTTCTAATCTAGATGAAGGTGGGCAGCAAGGAAGACCTAACAATCTACTTCTGAAAGTCAGCCAGTGAAAATGTGATAAAACACCAGATTTCTAACAGATCGGGAAGCAGCATCGCCTTCCATTGTGCATGGGGTCAACACAAGTCAGGGACCACCTTGATGGCACCTACCAAGGACAACGGTACCAAAGTACCAGACGAAGGTGTGCTAAAGTCTCTCTTGCCCAGCATGGAACTAGTATGAAATCTGGAGACATTTACAAAATTTACATTGACCATTTATTCAACATTCAGGCATTTTACTAATACATTATGTGTTTAGATCCTTAAAATTATCATCCCATTGTTGTTGTTGTTGTTAGGTGCGACTCACAGTGACCCTATAGGTTGCCACTCACAGTGACCCTGTGTACAACAGAATGAAACACTGCTTGGTCCTGCGCCATCTGCATAATTGCTATGTTGGAGCCCATTGTTGCAGCCACTGTGTCAATCCATCTTGCCCATGTCTTCCTCTTTTACTGCCCCACTACTTCACCAAGCACGATACCCTTTCTCAGGGGCTGGTCTCGCCTGGTAACTTTCCAAGGAGCAACACTCTACTAGAGAATGTTATCTTTCTTTTTATAACCAAGAAAGTAAGGCTCAGGGAAGCAGGCTATATTTTCATAAGCTGGCCACCACCCACAGAACCTTCTTCATTGTCACCTTGGTACTCCCTGTCAAGAGGTGGGGGGTCTATTTCTTTACCCCTCCTTAAACCTAAACAGGCCCCCAGAGAGCCTTCACGAATGGACTGCTTGAAAGGGACACTGTCCCAGCTCCTCATGTCGCCTCCGCTAGCTAGAAGCGAGGTTCCGCTTCTGTTTCAAACACAGGAAGGAGCCAGGTGTCATGCTGCAGTCAAAAGCCCTGGTCTAGCTTTCCTCCAACATCAGCTGCCTGTCAGAACAGTAAGCCATCGTGCACACGCAGCCTCAGTGAACCTTCAGATAACGCCAGCCCCAGCCACCTCACTGAAACTGCATGCAGCCCCAAGTGAGAATCGCTCAGTTGAGCATAATCAAATCACTAAACTGTGAGGCATAATACTAAAGTCGTGTTTCAACCACAAGGTTTTAGGGTTGTTTATTATGTGGTTGTTGTGTGCAGTTCAAGTCAGCTCATGGCGACCCAACTCATAGGACAGAGTAAAATCCCCCCATTGGGTTCCCTAGTTTGTAAACCTGTACAGAAGCAGAATACAAACAGTTTTCTCCCAAGCAGCAGCTAGTGGGATAGACCCACTGCCCTCTTGGTTAGCAGCTGAGCCCTTTAACCACCAAACAACTAGGGCGCTATTATATAACCATAACTAGAATACTCAGATCAATAAACTTGCCTTGGCGCATAGTAGGGTTAAATGTCACAGCCTGAATTCAAAAGGGTTCAGAACCAAAATCCATTCCTGATGGGCAATGAGGTGTAGGGGGTTCATTACCCTAAAAACATGTCTTTATAACAAACCCCTCCTTTCCCCGTGCCCCCAGTGGCCTCAGGGTTTTCTGAGAAATGTCCCAAGTACAGTGACACCCCTGGTAAAAGAAGTTCCCTCTGTCTTCCAATATAAAACAGGGACAACAAGGTTTTCCCCCCACTCTCTGTGATAACTAATGAGAAAGGAACCTGGACGAGATGTTGATTTTGTTCATCAGAATATCATCACACTGTTATGTAAAAAGACTCAGATTTTACACATGAAACCGAAACTCTAATAAAAATAAACTTCATGACTCACAGGACTGCCTTGGAGATTCACGGTGGGAGTAAGAGAAGCAGGCACACTACAGCCATAACTGAATAAGCCCTGAGGAAAACCAGCAAAAGAAACCTCTTCAAATGGAAAATCCTTATGGAAGAAATGAAGACAGTAAGACTCATTTTCAGATGAGTCTCAGTAAAAAAAGAAAATCTTTTATTTAACAAGTGTCTCAATAGCTGTTATTTCCATTAGCTATTAGTGGCCATGTCTTGTATGTATCCCCACCACCACCAGCAGCAGCATATTGGAACATGATGCAGTTGTTCAGAACTAGAACCTTACAGCTCAACCAACTCCCTTCATTTCAACAGCTATGAAACTAAGACTCAAAGAAGCTAATAGGCTTCCAGAGTCAAAATGCCACTTCACAAGAGAACAAAACTGTCAGTACTGGGGCTATCTTTGTTCAATTTTATTTTACCAAGACTAGGCCGCCCAACGTCTTTCCGATTCAGTCCAGTGTTTCACAGTGTGAAAGTGAAAGATCAGAAAACCATGAGACCTGTTATCAACACCTTCGTAATTTACAGGAAGAGCACTGCGTCCACTGTTTCTGGTGGTCACACTTAAGCTGGTGACTATAACGAGCAGAGATTTGCAACTTTTCAGAACAGCCTGCTGAGTTATTATTGGCCCCCATTTCTCTGTCACTAACGCCTTAGTCTAAATTACTTTAATCAAGTAACATGGTTATTGAGTCCCATTAATCATTACTAGAGACTATGACACTTATAACCTGGAAGGTTTATGTAAGGGGTGATTCGGGAACACAGAGCAGAAAAAGAAAGGTGTTAGGAGGTATCTAAGTGAAAGTTGTTGAGTCCGGAATAAAAAGGAAAAGGGTGTCTAGCAAATGGTAATATATCAGTTGCCACTGAGTTGATTAGAACTCATGGTGACCCAGGCTTGTCAGCATAGAACTGTATTCCACAAGGTTTTCAATGGCTGGTTTTCAGAAGCAGATGGTCAGACTTTTCTCCCAACACACTTCTGAGTGGACCTGAACCTCCAGCTTTGTGGCTTGACCTCCCAGGTGCTCCAGGGTAAGAACACGGCCATCATAACACAGGCACCTATTTTAACGGTGTTTCGTGGGGAGGCTGCTTTCCTTCTACAAGAAGCCGCTCTCAAGTTTCCCATGAAAACTCCTCCCCAAACAAAAGGGCTCCAAAATCAGGCTAGATGTGATTCGATTCAGGAACGCTATGTGAATACTCCTCAAGTTCTCTCCAGTCCCTGGGGGTTTGCTACAATTCCATGTACAAAGTTAAATTGGCCTCAGTGTGCTCTCCAAAATTATACCAAACTGTGAAGGAAACAGGCCCACATCCCTTTATGTCCTTTCCACCCGCTGCTATGAAACTCCAGAGAAACTAGCTAAGTGCTTTTTGTCACCTGGTAGCTGAAATGTGCAACTTTTCCAAGTATTCAAGTACACTACCCAGATTCACTACCCCAGCAAAGAGTAGTCCCAATTCTGCATCCCCTGCCCCTCAACGTCACTAAGTTTTGGGTTCCAATAAAATCAAAACACCTCACTCAAAGATAGAACTACCTACTGCTTTAAACCATTCCAGCATGGGGGTAGGCGGGAAAGAAAAGATAGAAAATAATTTCTCACTCATATATTTGTAGTAGTGTTTAATTATGGGGACGAGGGATGGCTGCTGATAGAATCTGGACAATCACTAGGAGGGGGTGGAAAAACCTGCTTGTGAATGACTGGATATGATATTTATTCACGTGCCCTCCCTCATTATCTTTATGGGTCCTGAGGACAGATGGCATGTTGACACAGAAAGTAGTCTCCAATCGCTGCCATTTCCTTTTGCAAAGCATGTGATCAACACAAGACATATAGAAAATGGGGAGAAAAACAGAAACCGCCCAGTGAATGTATAGTAGAAAGACAAAAATGTAAAGAACCGCATGAACAAGCAGTCTGGCCGATACATACATTGACAGGAAATGGCCAAAATGAAAGGAGAAGCAGAATAAATACACCCTGTGTGCTCACTGCCCTGGCTTATCGCTGACCCCGCAGTTGGATCATTGTTTACCTCACACAGAACCTGCACTCACCAGCAACTTGAGTGAACCCCTTCCACTGCCTCCATCTTTCCTTCCCTTGGGGCGAGGGCGCCCAGGGAAGAAAAATAACATTGTGGTCTCTGAACCCATGGCTCCCCTTGCCCTGGTGAACTCTTTGTTCGGTTGCTGAACCTGCTCGTGGGAGATCAAGGAAAAAATCAAAACACAACAAAAGAGTAAGCGTCCCAGCCTATGTACAATAGGTGCCAATACACTGTCGGGCTGGCAGAGCCTGGTTTAAATCCTCTGTTCAAGCCCTCACTTCTCTCGGTACCCCCAATGGAAACATATCTCGCACGCCTTCTCCCTCGCATTTCTCCAAGGTTTCCCCTAAAATGACCTGCTCTGTGTCACTCCTCGGAAAAGGAGGACGTGAAACAGATGTTGATGGTGACTTGTTATTACACTGACAAGGATACAGAAACAAAAATCCCTGGACCCCACACGCCCACTGGCCAGTCCTTTCCAGCTGTAGTGGACGAGCGTGCAGGAAGCGTTACTGACGAGCACAGTACAGAACCTTATACCACCGCATCTGCATCCCACACAAAGCCCGAGATGGTGCAAGAAGATCCACGCCGAGCGCGGCGCCGAGCGGCCGCGGCACACCGAGCCAAGCCCGCGTCCAATCAGAGGCTCGGTATCAGGTGGACCCCCGGGTGGGCTCGGCCCGATTAGCCTTCCCTATCATGACCCCACGCTCTCCCAGCATCCGTATCCCACGGGGAGCAAATCTTAATTCGCGTGGTTGCTCGTCTCTCGAACTGCCCGATCATTTTCTTTCATTTCCAGTCCTGCAATTGCGCCCCGGAAAAAGACACCCCAGGGCCTGAAGGCACCTTTCCAGCTCGGTTTTCTCCCCCCCACCCCCTTCTCATCCCTAGAAAGGATTAGACGTTTCCCTCTCCAAGGCGCAGGCTGGCAAGGCAGAAGGCAAACGTCCCTCCCCGCGCGCGGGCAAGCGCCCGAGGGGCTGCGAAAAGTAGCAGCAGCGGCGTGGGGGGATCGTTAGGAATCGATCCGGCCACAACAGTTGAAATCCCAGAGGCGCTCCAACTTACCCAAAATATGACATTGAAGCCGAAGATAAAATACTTGATGCAACAACTGACTTCAGGACCCTTGTAGTGCTTCCCGGACATCCTCTGGGTTCATGAAGACACTTGCCCCGGCAGCCCGAGTTTGGCGCCGCGGAGCCCGGTGGCTCGGAGCGGC